GCCTCCTCGCTTCCGACCCCAGATAGCACGCCCCCCTCCCCTCAACTCATCCCTTTCGGAGTCGTCCGACGGGAAGAAAGCCCCCGAGGAGAGAAACTTCGCCGCAAATAACGCGCCGCCAAAATAACAAATTTGTCAGTTATCAATTTCTCGCCGGGAGACAAGTTTCTTGCGGACTCGACCGCGCTGCCGAGGGATGAGGGCGACCGATCGAAATCTCGTGTACTGCGAGAAATGGCCCATTTACGGACACTATTCGTTTGAGAAAAGTCTGAAGTGAGGAGCAGTGAGAGAAACAGATATTGGGGCAGCACTTACACATAATCCACAAACAATATCGAATCGACATAAAATAAGACATGTGGGGCTTATTTGTAGATTTAATAGCTAGTTGAACCAATGCGCTTGTACGGATAATTAGTGCATTAGCGTCAGAAATGGGCAGGAATTCGAGAGCGAGGTGGAGATGAGGAGGCGGCGAGGCTGGGTCGGAGCGGGTGCGAGGCGGGGACGAGGCGGGGGTGAGGCGGGGGCGAGGCGGGGGCGAAGAAAATTCGTGATAGATATTTTTTCTCAGCCAAAGTACAAAAGTAGTACAAAATTAGATCTTTAAAATAGTCTGTTTAATTTTTTGAAAAAAAAATAACGAGCAGTTTTTGCCAATTTTGCGATTGAAATTTACAAAAAGAAAATTCTCAAAAACCGCTTAAATTTTTTAAAACTTGTCTTCAGTTAAGAGACGTTAAAAATATGGTGCTATTCGTATTTTCGGGTATTGCTCGGTGTTTTCAAAATCAATAAAAAAATTAAACAACAATATTAAAGATAAAGATGTTTGCCTCAGACAAAAACTGCGCAAACTTCACTCTTCAAGAAAGGTAATTTTTTGCAAAAAACAGTAGTTTTTGCGTGTTTTGCGATTGAAATTTCCAAGGAAAAATTTCTTAAAATTCGCTACAATTTATTTTTTCATGTTTTCTTCACATATATAATAAAGAACTGTATGAAATGCAGCTCTAGTCTCATTTTCGCGTATTGCTTGCTTTTTTCGAAAATTGCCAACAAATTCAAAACTACAAAATTAAAAATAGAGATTTTTGCTTTAGACAAATCTGTGGTACAAAATTAACTTTTAAAAGAAAAGTCATGTACAAATGAAAAAAAAAGATAAATTTTTGAGTTATTTCTGCTTGATATTAGTGAAGTATATACAAGTTTCATACCAACTACGGGTCATGAGACAAATTGAATGAATGATACGAAAAATAGTGAATTTAACTTCAATTATAATTTTCTACTTAAAATGCAAAATACGTATTAGTCCCTTTTTTGTTTCTCTCACTATTACTTTACTTAATTCTACAATTTGTATTCTCTATGTATTGATGTTCGAGTACATATAGATGACTGTCTGCAGGCGATATAATAGCTTTTATCTTTCCTTCATACCGGAGGCAAATAATTCGTAAAGAGCTCTGTTACTTAGGCCATCATTCATAAAATTATAATATGTCCAGTTTAAGATATCATACCACTTGGGAGTGCAAGCACCACTATCTCAAAACTATACATCTAGGTGTTGGGGAAAAGCAATGACAGGAGAGGATGTGCTTACCAAAAATAGATTTTCAAATAAGGCCATGCTCAATTTTTAGAAAATGAGTATTTTTGGGCTAATTGGAATTTGTATATTTCATAGATATTTGTTCGTTTCTTACATTCGACTTTTGTTATACATATACATATATTCATTATTTAGAAATTATGTATACAGCTCTCATGTGCTGTTTTAGTGATTCTAACACAAAACTTGTTAATAAGAGACTGTGATAAGATTTCTACAGCTCACTTCCTTTCATTTAAAGCTAACATCTGTGAATCTCCATAATGCAAAAATGTTCAAATTTCTTTCTAAAAAGAAACTTAGCGTTTTAGAAATACACATTTATTATTATAAAGTTTGTGCTTCCTATCACATTACTGTTGAATAAATGTGTAAACAAACTGATAACCACTCGTTACTTCAGAAGCGGAAGTGAAACTTCGAAAAAACCAAACAAATAATTATAAAATACAGATTTTTAAATTTTCGTTAAGGAATGAAAAAACATTATTTCTCTTTCTTTGTATTTCTATAATGTAGAAAAATATATTTAACACAAACGCAACTTTAATTCTATAATTCAATACGCCGCTTTTCTACAATATCTTATAATTACAAAAGAAAGAATTCATTTCCCAAACCTCTTATTCATATAGCTTATATAGCTATCAGTTTGTTTACACATTTATTCAACAGTGATGTGATAGGAAGCGCAAACTTTATAATAATAAATGTATATATATATATATATATATATATATATATATATATATATATATATATATAAAACACTAACTTTACTTTTAGAAAGAAATTTGAACATTTTGGCATTAAGGAGATTCACAGATGTTAGCTTTAAATGAAAAGTAGTGAGCTGTAGATGTTTTCTCACAGTCTCATATTAGCTTGTGCTGTTTTGCGTGGTTATGCGTATACTTGTGATTTCAAATACTTTTCAATTTCACCACGATAGCAAAGTTTGGCGAGTTGCAGAGGTGTGCGTTTAAGCCAGTCGACCGCCTGCGGCTCCGCTCCCGATTTCAGCAGCTTCTGCACACAGCCATAGTCGTTCCTCAACACCGCAGTGTGCAGCGGCGTGCGCTGGAAGATGTCCCTTGCGTTGACCGTTGGGCTAGAACTGAGACGGAATCATTGATTAGTAATACCGAGCGTGTCTGCTGCTAAGGTCAATAGTCCCGTAAGTGTAGGACATCTTTTTATCGTGGGAGGTGGCGGTGATCCGTCCCCCACTGGATGGCGAGACCTTGCACAGACCTACACGTCTGCTTGCTGGGTTTTCCCCAAACAGGTATCTCCCAGCAAAAGGCCGCGGCCATAGATGGGAAACGTTCTAAGCTCCCGTTTAGTCTCCCTGCTTGTGTGGTAGCGTGGGCATGAAAGTGTTAGTGTCGGTAAATAAAGGGTTGTGATAAGACTAAGGATGAGTACAGCAAGACCGCGTAGGGTCTACGACCCGTTTATTAGGGTACTTCACCGTCATTCGGCTGGTGTTGACCTGATTAACCTCTGAAAGCTAGCGATCAGAGCACCCAGCGGTAGGATTCGACATAGCTATGTAGCTAGTGTCGCAAACCTTCAACCTTCTCTCTCTGTCTCTGTCTCCTGTCTCTCTCTCTCTCTCCCTCTCTCTCTCTCCCTCTCTCTCTCTCCCTCTCTCTCCCTCTCCCTCTCTCTCTCCCTCTCTCTCTCTCTTTCTGTATGTGTCTCTTGCTGTGTGTGTGTCTCTTGCTGTGTGTGTGTCTCTTGCTGTGTGTGTGTCTCTTGCTGTGTGTGTGTGTCTCTTGATGTGTGTATGTGTGTCTGTTGCTGTGTGTATGTGTGTGTGTCTGTTGCTGTGTGTGTGTGTCTGTTGCTGTGTGTGTGTACCTCTCTCTCAGTTTCCCTCTCTGTTTCTGACTCTCTCTCTCTCTGTCTCTCTCTCTCTCTGTCTGTCTGTCTGTCTCTCTCTCTCTCTCTCTCTCTTTCTGTACAAATTCATTGTTCAACGTTATTCATTGTAATGTAGGTTGTTATGGGGTTTTCATTCTTAGAATCAATTATGTTCGTATGACTTATTTAAATATCTGTCATTCTCGATCTTCAAACGCATAAAGATATTCTAAAAATGTATACGTTTATGCCATACACACAATTTTGGGGACGAGGCAATAAGATTTTCTTTTAACTTTAGAAATATAAACTTTACGAAGAAATTTGCCGTATTACGATTCTTTTGGGAGTTTGACATATTGTCATTTTGAAGGTTGGGAGATTGTTTTTGCATTTGTCAAGTCAGAAGATTTACAATGATGAATGAAGAATCGGTACGAGATAAACTCAAGTCTTCACCAGTAGAAGTAGCTACACGAACATGCATACGCCAATTTAATATTTTTCGTCCCAATGAATTGTTAAGGTGAGAAAAATTATGGAAATTTAATTTTACGGCGATGCATGTTACAGATGCTGTAATGAAGCGCGCTCATTTCTTTTTTTTAATTTGCGGAAACGACCTGTGTAGTCTGGCTTGCAAAGTCCTTCATCCACAGCAGGTTGATGAGTTTAGTGAGAAATTGAGTACGATATAATTTCTAAGCTGAAAGATCATTTTAGAAGTCAATGAGGTCGCCGCATAATACAGTTTTCATCACTGCGAACGAAAAGCTGGACAAGCAGTAAATACCTTTGAAGCCGGATTGAAACGATTAGCATCGGTAGCGCCTAAACCATTCAGGCGATTTTCTCCAAAATTAATGTTCCTCGATTGTTTTAAAAGAGTTCGATGTTCTGTTAGGTTAAAACGGATATTTTAATTTGGTGGGGTACTTTATATGAAACCTCCAAAACATTTTCAATATCTTCTCAAAAACGGCCCCAAATTTTTGGATCAAACTTTGTTCTCAAATAGCGTAAAAGGCGCATAAAAGAATGACACTGATCTCGGTTTCATTGACTTTTTTAATTTTAATTAAATGTGTTGGTGTCTTCCTACAACCACGATATTGAATTTAGATATTTCTTCCTTAATAAAATCTTGTCTTCAAAAGCAGATCATGAAATAACCGCAACATTCATAATAGCCGCATTGAAAGTGCAACTTCGTAATCGTGATCCATTGGGACGTGTCAATGTTTCCAACTACACACATTAACTATATATTTTTTGTTATTTAATTACCCCATTAGAAAAGACCACAAAGTTAGTGAAAAATACCAATTTTAGAAACGGGAGATCTAACAGTATACTATATCTCAATGACAAAAGCTTATGAATGCATTCTCCTTATCTGTAGGTGTAGGTGGTGGAGGTGTAGGTGGTGGAGGTGTAGGTGGTGGAGGTGGAGGTGGTGGAGGAGGTGGAGGTGAAGGTGGTGGAGGTGGAGGTGGAGGTGGTGGAGGAGGTGGAGGTGAAGGTGTGGGTGGTGGAGGTGTAGACACGAATTAGTGCAACAATTAAAAAGAACCTGCGACTAGTTTCCAATATATTTCTAATGTTTAATTGTCTAGTATTGGCACTGCTGCACTCGAATAAAACTGTTAATGGTTATTAATGGCGAACTACAGACCAATAACTATAATTTGTTCTCACTTGTGGTATTTCGTGTAGTATTTAAGTGTGGTCATGCGAGAAAGATGACTAATAAAGCTTCTTCTCACTACAGTTTTAAATACTAATCTATATTTAATGCCAAAAAAATTAGTAAGAAACATTGTTATTTAAAAAAAGATTCCATTTTTGCAAAAACTTATCAGTTTTTGAGAGAATAAGATTCTTACGTCAGTAGATCGCAGGTATGATGCAGAGAAGTACGAAACAAAGAATCTGTGGAATTCCATTTAGTTGATCCTAAGTACACACTTTGGAAATGGGGATCATCTCCTCGACATGGATAGTTATAGTACTCGGATGCATAAACTGGGGATGCTCCCAGGATCCTGCCGTAGATTTGCGGGTCCCTTTTCTGAAGAGCTTGCACCGCCACCGAGAATCCTCCGTCGGGCGCCTTGCCCCGGTCCGCCCCCGCGTGGAGAAGCACGGCGAAGGTGTTGGAGGCGCCGTGGAGCACCGCCTCCATCAGCGGGGTGACGCCCGACAAAGTGGTTGCGTCCACCTGCAGGCAGACGTGCAGGGGTGGGAGAAAAGATGCAATGATGTTCAGGATCAACATGCGGCTTCACTGCGAGGGTTGAACTATAGCTCATGGCATCTAATTTTTTTGCGAGAATGCGAGCACGGGTGGGAAATGTGAAATACGTATACGCATGAAAGGGCCAGGTATGATATAGGGCACGGTCATTTAACGACACGGCAAAATTGTGTTTCTCGTATTTATTAAGGTATTTGACATTAAGGTATCTGAATTGGATTATACGAACATTTTAGTGTGTACGAGTTGACAACATTCCAGAAGCATTGCGTACCCGTTCTAAAGGTCTGATTATGCTGATACTCGTGTCACATCGGGTCACATCGTGTCACATCGTGTCACATCGTGTCACATCGTGTCACATCGAGTCACATCGGTCCGCACACTCGCATGTTGTTATGTTAGTTGTTAATCTGTGGTTGCTCCACGCCCTCGCAGAAACTCTTTTGTCCATCTCGCGACTGTCCGGTATGGAAGTACGTTATTTCTAAGAGCTTCAATCAGTTCCCGTGGCATTGTTGGGCATTTAATTTATGAAGTAAGGCATTTTTTCCATATATATATATTATATATATATATTGTAACAACCAACTCTCAGCGTAGGGAAACGCGCGGTTAGCGGCCCAGTTCTAGCTCAGTCGGTCCTACTCCCTTACTCATATAAAAACTAGCCAATTGTAACAACTCCCGTTACTCGTATAAAACTACGCCATGTAACAATTCCTGACATAAGATTCAGGATGAAGGCATGTAAGCTAAAGCATGCATGGGGCATGGGCCAATTGTAAACACTTCCTAAACATAAGATTTCAGTGATGGAAGGCATTGTAAGGCTTAAAGATGCATGGCCTGGATTCAAAATAAACAACTTTTGATTACTGGTAAAAGACAACGTTTATTCCTGAAAGGCGCTGTACTAGGAAGTTTAATCGAGAAAGAAAATTGAATAAAAATAAAATAAAATTAGAATCCAAAGAAGAAAACTTCACTAAAGAAGAGTGGTACAAAAAATTACTTCTATAGTACAATTACAAAAAATTTGTGTCCCTGGGATCTTCTGTGCTCAGTCGCCGCACCGCCTTTAAAACAATAGTCTCTAAGGGCTTATGACCGGCGTGAATTACTTGCCCTGGAAAACCCTCCGTGGCAAATGTGCTCAGTAGGCCGTGACGCGGCGAGAGCTTGTGGCGGCCGGGTGTCACTTGCCAGGAATGCCGGCCGGGGCGCACCTTCATCAGGGACGTCGGCGGTCTGGTGGCGGCTGCGGCGTCAGTGACGCAGCGAAGGGCCGTTCTGGAGGCTGGCTTTCGGCGGAGTCGTAGCATGGCCGGGTGTATTGATCCCCGATACAGTGCGGAGACACAAATCTGTCTTCCCGACGTCCTGCGGTTCTCTCGAACCAAATTTCAGCGAATGCGATTTGTAGCTACATAAGCAGTGGCAAAGGATTCGCTATCCCCGTAAGTGCCTTTGCACCTTCCTCTCTACATAAAACTTCATAAGTGATTGCAGTCCTAGAGGTTGCACCAGTCATCCTTCTCTCCGCCGACGGCTCCCACCCAGAGAAGTCTCTCTCCTTTCCTAATGTACTTTTATATCTCCTACACGCACGAGAGTCTAACTGCCTCTATCCACCCTTTCTCCTTACTATGTTCTTGCTCCTACAAAGATCGCTTCTCATTGGCTTAAAGGTGATTGGCGTTGATACCACTAAGATTTGGCAATAACGGCTCCGGCGGAGCTTATAGAATTTTTCCGTCTCTGTTTCGGAGAAGTAGGTCACGTCTCTGAGGTGCCTTCCGGCTATTGAAATTATTGCTTTCGGAATTCCCCGATTCACGATGCGACAGGCGTTTCGGAGCTATCTCCATTGTGTGGCTCCGCTGGCGCTTTTACAGTTGTACACCCTTTGTTCGGTTGGTTGGTGGGGTGTCATAACACCTCGAAACTGGTCAGGGGACCCGTGGCTTTGTCAAGAAAGGGGCTGCGCGCGACATGTATATTTTTTCTCAGTACAAAAAATTTCTTAGTAGGTCTGCTTTACTCAATAGAATTTATCTGAATAATTCTGTACCGCTACAATATATATATATATATATATGTATATATATATATATATATAGTGGATCTAGATTCTGAGGAATTCATGGTGTTGGCTCATTGACCGCCAATTTAATTTAAATTTGACGCCACGCTTCGAACACCTCAGTTTCGCTGCTCTTTGAAGGCTTTTCAGAAGAAATCACGCATTTCAAACTTCTCGCTTAAGAGATTGTCTAATTTGGCTAAAAAAAAGTCGCGCGAATTCCTTTCCAGTTGACCAAATACTGATTTGTTTCGTACAAAGTTATTTGACGTCGATTGTGAACTGCTTTCTGTTAGTTCGAACAGCCACCAAAATATCGCATCATCTCCTGAGCGATCGCGACGAAAGTATTTACTCATTGTCACCATTCGGAATCCAACTTTTTCGACGTTAGATGCGTCGAGCTCTCTTTGTCATGAAAATCATTGGGCCGCGAGCAGTTTCGTGGCGATTGTGCATGAAGGTTACCATGGCAATATCTTCAATACGCATTGATTCTTTCGGTAAAGTAATAACCAGTTATGCGTCATTTCTTTTCCAGAACTCTCTCGTATGGTGAGAACAGTAGAAGGCGATGTTCCTTGCAGTTTGTGCTAATGCTCTCCCGATTCATCATTTCTGCAGTCCTATTCTCTAATAGGTTATCTCTCAACGCAAAATTTCTTTCTCTTTCTGAATTTCTAAGCCTTACCAGTTGCACTGGTGTACTTTTGTTCGTGGACTTTAGTGTGAACTTTATGAAGCTTGCTTTCTAATCCCCTTACAATACAAACACATTGCAAAAGTCAATTAAGAACAAGATTTTATAAATCGGAAAATCTTTTGAATGACTTTAGACGTCATAAGATGACAGCAGGACGGAGTACGGACTTTTAAGAAACACGAGAACCAATTTGTATGCCCTCCAGAATCTCATCCCGGCATTGGATTTTCCTCATGCGCCATCTTGGCGGGAGGGAGTCGGGCAATAGGTTAAGAGCCCCAAATATAAACAAAAAAATCTTTACATTCGTGAAGATCGCATAGGAGTCCCGAAATATCTTATAGAAGCTGAATAACCGAAAGGGAATTGGTTAATAGATTGATAATTTCGTAATTCCGGGTACGTCATTTACCAAGGTCATTAGTCACGTAAGTGTATTACATATTTGTTCCTTGGGATGTGGCGGTGATCTCTCCCCGCTGGATGATAAGATCTGGAGCCAACCTACCCGTCTGCTTGCGGGATGTTTCCCGTATAAGGTATCTCCCACCAGTGCAGCACTGCGCCAGACGTGACACCCTCTAAGGCCCGAATGGTCGCCCGACAAGTGTAAGAGTGAAGTGTGTCTGTGGTAAGTTAGGGGTGGCGATAGAACAAGGAAGAGGAAGGAATGATCGTGCGCGGTGTGACCCGTTGATAAGGGTACTGCTCCGGCATTGGCTTGGTGTTGATCGGAAAAAACACAGAAAACCTAGACAACAGAGCAGTCGGCCGTTAGGAATCTGCTCCGGACAGTGACTGAATCCGAACTAAGAGCCTAGCTGATGCCAAAAACAGTGCTCGAACCTTAGGACCTGACTGTCAGAGGCTCTGCAGTTGCCTCTGAGTCACGCGAAGGCGGGAGTGAGAGGGAATCCGCAAAGAATGAAGGAGTTCACCTCCGCGCCGGCGGCCAGCAGCTCGATGGTGGCGGCGAGGGCGCCGTCTGCGCGGGCGGTGATGTGCAGGGGCGTGCGGTGTTGGTCGTCGACGGTGCTGACGTTGGCGCCCAGGGCGATGAGCGCGCGCACGGCGAAGCCGTTGCTGCTTTCGGCGGCCGCGTGCAGCGCGGTGGTGCCGTGCACGCGCCGCCACGCGTCGCCGCTCTCCCACGCCAGCGGGTCGCTCTTGTGGATGAAGCCGATGAGCGCCGCGTCGCCCTGCGCCGCCGCCTCCTGCAGGAACTTGGCCCGCTCCGAAGGCGGCGCCAGCGACGGCAGGTACGGCGCCAGCTGCAGGCCCTCTGCAAGGAAGCGGCGTTCACCTCGCACGCTATGCCAACGACTCAAGGAGCAAGGAGAAGGAGGAAGGGTAAGGAAAGGAAGAGGAAGGGAAAGGCGAAGAGTAAGGGGAAGGCGAAGAGTAAGGGGAAGGCGAAGAGTAAGGGGAAGGCGAAGAGTAAGAGTAAGGGAAAGGCGAAGAGTAAGAGTAAGAGTAAGGGGAAGGCGAAGAGTAAGAGTAAGAGTAAGGGGAAGGCGAAGAGTAAGAGTAAGAGTAAGGGGAAGGCAAAGAGTAAGGGGAAAGAGATTACAAAGTGGATAAAGGAAGACAAGAAGAAATTAAAGAAGGCGAATATCCAGATGATGCGAAAGAGGATGAAAGCCAAATTGAAGTGGAAGAGGACGAAATTCAAGTAGAAATGGAAGAAGAAGTATATGTAAAAGCACGTAAATTTTAATGATGTGAGTGATGTATAAAGAAAATTAAGAAATAAAGTTTTTTAAGAACATCATAATGGCTGTCATGATATTTTATCAAGTGCACTACGAACATTTTGAGAAAATTTTGTGTTTGTTTTCGGCAATTTTTTTGTCTTTTTAATTACATTTGTACATTTTTCTCTCATATTTACGTGAAAACACTTTTTTTAAAATAAAGGTACACAACAGATAACTTATTGTGGCGAAAATGTCTCATTCATGTGTCAAGAAAAGATCTCCGTCACCAATAATGTAGGAGGAGGCCGAAAATATATTAAACAAAGTACATTTTGACTACATTAGAGATTTAAAAAAATCTGTAATTTTTGTAAA